AACAGGTCCAGAGGAGTGCTACAAAAATGATCAGGGGGCTGGAGCACCTCTCCTATGAAGAAAGGCTGAGAGATCTGAGGCTGCTCAGCCTCAAGAAGGCTCTGGGAAGACTGTATTGTGGCATTTAAATACCTGAAGGGGACTTAAAAGAAAGATGGGGACAAACTTTTTAGTAGGGCCTGTTACGATAGGACAAGGGGTAATGGTTTCAAACTAAAAGAGGGTGGATCCAGGCTAGATATAATGAAGAAAATTTTTACAGTGAGGGTGGTGAAACACTGGCACAGATTGCCCAGAGAGGTGGTGTATACCCTATCCCTAACAGTCAAGGCCAGGCTGGATGTGGATCTGGGCAACCTGATCTAGTTGAAGATGTCCCTGCTCATTCCAAGAGGGTTGGACTAGATAACCTTTGAAGGTCCCTTCCAACCCAAGCTATTCTATGATTCCATGAATAATAACTTTTCCTTGCTTTGAACAGGAAGATGGTCATTCTCTTTCTAGTCTGACCAAAGGCTGTGACCTTCAGGTCTTGGCATCTGGCACATCTGAACAAGATACCTCTATCTGTTGAAGCAAAGTTTCCTAGATTGTTTTTCCTTTTCTGAAAGTCTTATCCTTTTGGGGTTCGTCTCTCTGCTCTTTATGCTATCTTCTAGTTTTGGACTCTGAACTCTGCAGAAACTGGCTGTGCAGCCTTACAGGCTATGAAGCCTTAGGAGCCCTGGAATTTGAAAAACAAGAGAGATCAACATACCTTTAACAGCTCAAACATGTTTATTTAAAAAGGAAAAGGGAAACCTAGGTCAGAGACCAAAAATAAACTTAGAAATGCAAAACAAGAGAGGAAAACAAGAGCATGCTGATGCACAGTAAGTCACATAACACACAAATCACGTCAAAAGGAGTTTGCAGACATAAACATGAGGTTGCACAGACATGGGGTCCTGAAGAAACCTCTCATCTTCTGTCCTCAGCTCCAGTAAATGCTGCCAAATATGCCTTCATTGCCTCCAGATGAGTTTATTATTGGAGTGAATTCTGCTGGGATGCTGAACATTTTTACCTTGAGAGGAATCCAGTTTGGCTACCTCTGCTTTCTCATGGAGGCAACTTGAAGTGCAGTGTCTGTATGTCATGCCTAGAGGTTCAGCAATGGTGTTGAATAGGACTGAGGCTGGCACTAATGGTATACCAGAGATGTTGCTTGTCTGGCTCTTTTATGTCCTTTTGGTTCTAAGCTATCACAGAAGCAGGGATTGACAGTTCCTATTCTCTACTTTTTCATTGCTGACATGTTGCATATTTTAGGCAGAAAGCCCTTCAGAAGACTTGGCACTGTGTGTGTAGAGGCAGCTTTGCAGCAGCCTGAGCAAAAGACTTTCCACCGGAAGCACTGGTGGAGATGAAAACAGTAACAAATCTAAAAAAATGCAATAACTGAACCTTAAGTAGCTGCCAAGACCCTAATGTTAAACATGGTAAGTTTACAAATGGACATCTAGGAGAGACTCACTTGTTTGCAAGCTTATTGAGCTCTGGATCTCTTACACTAGGCACCAGTGACATCATGTTAAATTAGCTAACCCTTAAATTAATGTCAGGGAACCTTGTCAGGGAATAGAACATGATTAACGATTGGACTTGATCTTAAAGGTCTTTTCTAACTTAGTTGATTCCATGATTCCATGGTTCTCCATACTAGAAAAGTATTAGAAAAGTCCTGGATTGGCTTAGCGTTTTCCCTTGCTCCATCCCAAAAAAATCCCAGGCAGCTTGGCATTTAACAGAAGCAAGAGACAATACTTCACAGACCACTTTGGGTGTAACCATATTATTTTGCCATATAAACCAGTGTAGATATAGGCCATTCCACACCAGTTTTCTTCAGGACCAAGGAATGATTCCAAGCATATTTAAACTACTAGTACAGACAAACTCTAAGTCTGAGGGAGTCTAGAAAAAATGTCAGAGCCCCTGGTCAGTCCTTATGATGTTTGCATTTCTGAGGCCAGCTGGTTAAAGTGTGAGAGAAGGAAATAACAAGCATAATGAACTGAGTATCTGGCCTGACATCACTGCAGGATAAGTCCTGCACTGTCAGTGTTCCACTGTGCCTTTCCCCAGGCTGGACTGATTTGTGGGTGGATCAAGGCTTTCATGTTGCTTCAGGTGTTCCTGTAGAAAACAGAGCAGGTATCGGAGACATATAATGACATGGTGGATGAATTTATTGCAGTGGAGCAGATTGAGACATACAAGAACATGCTGTGTCTTCACTATATAGTGGCTTTGGAGGAGACAAAAAGTGCTACGAAGTAGAATAAGATGACATAAGAATGAGCTGTCTAAGTGGGGCTACTTAGTCCTCCTGATAACATGGCTTTCACTGAATCAGTGGACATTTGTGATTTACATAGAACTAAAGCAGCTGTCATTTTTCTTGTTCATGGATGTGAGCTTGCACTCACTGCAGCAGAGTAAGCTCCTGCAGCCCTGAACATTTTAAAGTTTGGTTCCTTCTCAGAAGCTTGTGTACAGCTAATTTTGGACAGGTCCTTTGACACTTGCAGAACAGTTGTACGGGCTTGGCTGCAGGTCCTGATGTGACCTGGCAGGCAGACACTTCTGTAGCATCCTAGCCATCCTTTCTGTACTCAGTATGACCTTAGCACTGGGGTTCAGGAGATGAGGCAGGGAAAAATGACATCAGAGTGCCACCTCCATCAAGGACAACACAAATCACCTCACTACAGGGCATAGCCACCTCACCATGTAGGGCTCCAACACATCTTCCTGTGTTGTTGATTCTAAACTAGCTGTGCAAGTATGCTGTCCTTGACTGCTTAAACTTCAAACAGTTCTCTGTGATGTGGTGGATTTTGTCCCAGGGCAGTTATGTTGCTAGGTTAATAGGAAATATTCCAGCTGCAAAATTATGAATATGTGCATCTTCTTCACATACTTCTTGATTCCTTTTGCACCTCATGCTGCTCCATTGTGAGCATCTGGCCTGGAGACAGAACAACCAGCCAGGAAATGAGGATGCCAAGGGTGTGGTATTTCAGTGCTGAGGTATGGTCTCTACACACTGTGGGGCACGCTAGGCTTTAAACACTTTCTAAGCTACCTCTGCAGAGCTGCAGAGGTGTCAGGTTGTGTTCAATCTGGTGAGGCGAAGTCAATGCTACTTGCAAGAACAGAGAGAGAGTAGGTACAGAACTGAATCAGAGCAGTCTGTGTGTACATCAAAATGCAAAGTCCTGTTTGCAGCAGTTGGAAAAAGTGGATGCTACACAATAAAATGCTTATTTGAATCAAAATAGACAAGGATACTAAAATATGCATAGTTTGGGCTGTGCATCTCTGTACTGGATATGAAATTGAATAACAAGCCAACTCATCTCTATAGAAAAGTCAATCTCCATGGACATATTAAAGGGGTATATAAACTTGCCTATGTTTCAATTTTGATTTGTTCAATTATATTCCATTCAATTATATATTCTGTTTTGTAGGAGTACAATTTATTACCTCTATATTTCATCATGCTGGACCCTTAAGCCTTCTTCTTTGGCATACTTAAGTGACGAAAGTAACAAAAAGGCCAAGTGTTCATATGCTTCCTTAGAAAGATGTAAAAGATGTAGCTTGCTGAAGGAAATTTATTAGACTTGGCCAGCTGCTTGTATCTGGATCCAAAGAAAAATGTGTTTTAATTAAATTTTAAAATACAGCTAAAATGACACACATTAAAATGTCTTTGTTTCCTTATGAGTGTTGTATTAGACAGGACATGGAACTAAATGACGAGAAACTTGTAACTGTTGGTTTTGAAAACTGTAAGTTCATAAAGTTATACCAACAGTCTAGCAATGTGTATAGTCTTTTCCAGTACTTTGGCGGTGTGGCTTATAGGTCAAAATATGTGGTTTTCCTATTTCTGGTTACATTTCAGGCAATATGCTTCATTCAAAGGTGTGCTGCATGGAGTCTGGAGTTCAGTAGTTACTCTTTGTTTTCAGTGTCATCTGATATCTTAAATGGTCAGGAATAAAAAGAAACTATATCTTTTTTCTATTTTTTTTTTCACATTTGTAGTAAGGATTAAAAATAATAATAATATTAAAAGTGCCAGAACTGCCAGTAAGCAATCACTTCACTGCTGGGAGTGGTCATTACTACAAAGCTGATGGTTTCCAGTGGTGCCACACACTACAGCAGTGAAGAGAAACACTTTTTCTGTTCCTTTTGTGCTCAGGCCCTCCCCAGCGTCTTTATGGCCCTATGCTTCTTCACAGGTTACATACAATACAAATTTCCAATTCCCCTGCCACCTCACACACTGCCATTTAATTCTTCATCGGTTCCTCAAATCTTGGTTTTGATAGATGAGCCTGTACACTTGCTGAGCTGTCTGTCTTGAGGGAATATCTGAAGAGTAAAAAAAATTAATGTAAAAGTAAGAGATGACACTGGTCCTTGGAGGTAGCTAATAAGCCAAACAGGTTTTGATAGCAGACTTTTGCACAGCAAAAGTCTGTTACTTGACATAGTGGAGCTGCATAATTTCTTTCATGCAAGCCTACTTACAGACTCCTTTCAAAATCTGACATGACAAGTATGCAAAACAATTTGTTGAGATAGCAAATAATTAGAGTTACTGAAAGATTCATGAAGGAAATGTTTATGACAGTTCTCTGAAAATGTCAATACACCCATTACAAAACATTACCCAGGAAGTTAAGTCTTCTCATGGAGAGTCATCCTGTCAAATTAAGACACAATTGCCTTCAAATAAGAGTTATTTATACTTGTTGTACAAAAGTTTGATTGAAATATTAATTATGGATGGGCAATAAGACTGGGCAGTGAAAAACTGCAAAATCTGCTCTTCAAGAAGTTTGGTAGGAGGGAATATTCTACCTTCACATGCCATAAATGCACCATTCTGTAGATGCATATGGAAAGATGCTTTCACTGAAATTGTTCACATCTCTCTAAACCTTAATGTTAGAGCACCCATACAATCATTCAAAGGACACAGCCATGAAGCAACACTACGCTTTCTAACACCACACTTACTCTTAGGTTAAGTAACAAGGGAAAGTAAAAAAATTGTTGCAAAAGTGCAGGGAAGAAAACAACCAAAACAAGTCCACAAAAAGACTGGCATCATGCTCACAGATATTCCAAGAACTGAAAAAGTAGCTAAGTTTACAAGATAAACCTTGTCTAGTGAATAATTAACAGGTAAGCTTCAAGATTAAGCTCAATATAGACTGTTATTTCATTTTTATTGTTTTGACTGGAATGTTTTACTTTTAATGTCTAAAGAAGGGTTATGCCAGGTAATCCTGACACAATTAGGTGGGAGATTTACTCATATAATGGGTGATACCTATTTAATTTTAAAATTTAAATTATACTTTTGATGAGTGTCCATGGCTCATGGGATAACATAATTCAGTGTTTTGTCTATTTAACATAACAATTAACATAAGTTAATTTAACACTGTTGCTAAGGTCAAGTTGAAAGGCTGAAAATGTGCCTTCTGTAAATGCATTCTTATAAAATCGACAATTACGCACTATTTATTTCATAGGGTTCCTGTCTTTTTGGCACAAAGCATGGATATGAACCGAACTTGTGATGTTAAAGAGATTACAGAGTGCATTTAGTAGGACTTCTGTGGCTGGGACATGTTGAGTGGTGAATGCAGCAAAGGTTTTCATGGAAAAAAGAACAGGTCAGTGGTTAAGGCAATTGAGTTCTGTCTTGAAAGCTAAATTATAACCTTGCCCCTGAGCTTGTAATTGAAGTTCCTTACATTTATCATAGGTGCCTACTAACCAATTTTTAAAATGTATGATGAGAATCTGATTTATTAATGTGCTGAGAAGTGAATGAGAGCAGTAAGTGGGTAAATGAAGTGTGGCATAGTGCTAAATAGATATAAAAAAGGCCTAGACTGCTTTCATATGAGAAACCTAAGATATGTGGATTCTTGTATCTGAACTCCTTCAGATTTCAGAATTCCCACTTGTTAACTGAAGATCATAGCACGCCTTGGTTTTGTTGCAATGCCTGAAAATAAATGTGCTAGTATTTTAGAAGCACGCTGTAAAAATAAGCACACTGTAAAAATAACCATGGAAGAAAAAATACTGGCAAAATCTAGTTCTGTATTCAGAGCATTACTTGAAGAAAATACAATAGGTAGGACATAATGCCAGATTGAGTGGGAGAAACGGGGGGAAACTTCTCATTAAATAAGTACTTTCTATTCCAGTGCAATGCATGAAACAGTGCTCCCGAACAAAACTGTTATATGACCATGTATGCTATGTGATATAGCAAAATAATACGAATGCAGCAGCGAAGCAATTTAAAGTTTCACATACCTGGTGTTCCACAGCTCCTGAGTGTTTTGGCATGGCTCCAATGTGGATGCACATTTGTTCGGATTACAACAGAACAACTTATGTCTGCTTTCTTGCTGCATACAATGCCTAGACCTGGGGCATGTTAGAGTCAGAATAGTTTTTCTGACAAAGTAACAACCTTGACAAAGTTATGAGTAGATTAAAACAGGATCTTAAAGCTGAAAGAGAATAGCAGATATAATAAATTATGATGTTGCCAGCTCTTGTCTAGGACAAAGTCCTATCACTACAAATGCCCACCCTCATGGCTCAAGGGTGCACCTCCTATGGCTCTCTGGGGAGGTTTCCCTTCTTTCAGGAATGGATCTGACAACAGTGCCTACTGTGAGGGCATTTGTGGTGACAAAAACAAATGGGGTGGTGCAGAAATATATTGCCCACAAATAGAATGAGCCTCAAAATGAAAATTTAGTATTAAGACAGGAAAAGAGGTCACCGATACAATAAGCTGATGGTTCAGTTACATTTAAGCGTCCATAAACAAGGAGCTGCAACAGTGGGTAGAGAGGTACATTGTGAATGGGGTATCAAAAAATCTGTAAACTTTCCTACTCCTGCAGTGCTTCTTTACATAATGAGATAAACATATGGGGTAGCTGGTGCTAGTGCATGGCAGCAGCTCAGCTGTATTTTCTTTGTCAATCTTGCAGATTTCACGAAGGTGAGCCTCCAAGTTTTGCCCAGGAAAGACCACCATGTTGTCAAGACTAAGCAGATGAATAAAAAGGCCCAGGAAAATAAACTGTGCTTACATGTTATATTCCTGTATGAGTATTATTTTATAGGCAGTTTTCCTGCAGTGTGCTTTACATCCTTGCAAACATACTAGCAACAATTCTGAACTATGGCCTTATCATTTCATGTAGGATGCACTATTCAAGCAGTCAGATACATCAGTGTAACATGGTGTCGCACACCACACATGGCAGTGTTCTTACCCACAACTCCTGCTGTGAAAAAATAACAAATAAATAAAACATTTCCTTGCGGAGCAGGAGCAACTCAAATAGTAAAAACTTTGTTTTACTTTTTCTGTTGACAATTCCGAATGCTGAGGAAACACACTGTAGGACAAGGGACAGGATTACAACAGTTTAGAGAGAGTTGTGCGTTTATCCATGGGAAGAGAAAAACCTCCTTTGGTGATTTATGTGGGACTTCGCTCTAACTTTACAAAGCCGTTCACTTAGGTTTCACTTATTTTACTGTGAGAGTGAAGAACATTCCTTTAACTTCACTTTCTCTAGCATATGTGCGTTGTGATGTCCATATTTATAGGCGACATAAAAGTCTCTACTGAAAGAGGTACCTGTCTGCTTCATCCCCTCCTTCCCCTTCCCCACAGGGCAGAGGATAGCTAACACCGCCGGTTTTAGTTCCCGCTTAATGCACTCCAGAGCTCATAATGGGTCAGAAGGATCGAGGAACAAACCGGAGACCTTGGCGGTCGCCGCGGGTTACCTCGGGCCGGGTGGGGGCCGGGCGGGGCCTGGGCTGGCTCCGTCCTGTCCCGCCCCACTGCCCCACCGCCCCCGGGGCGGGCCGCCCGCCGCCGCCGATATAGGCGCAGTCCGGGCGCCCAGTGACACTCGTTGCGGCCCTGCTCTCATGGGGACGGGTGGTTTCCGTGGGTAACGCAGGTGAACCGCTGGGGCGGGCACGGACGGGGCTGCTGCCGCCGCCGCTGTTGTTACTCTCGGTCTGCGTCGGTCTCGGCTTCCCCGGTAAAGCGCCTCGTTCCTCCCGCAGGCTCGTCCCGGAGAGGCAGTTTCCCAGTCTCGCTGCTGCCATGGCCTCGGTTCCTTCAGCCGGCTGCCTCTTGGCCAAGAACCAGTACTACAGAAGTAAGTGCAAGGGGAGGGGAGAGAGGAGTCGTCCCCCTGTGTTCATCCTCCCCCTCTTGTCTGCCGGGGAGGGTCCTCTGGAGGATAGAGGCTGAGCGCCCCAGAGGCTCTCCCGAAGAGATTCCCGGATTGTTGCCCCTCATGAAAAGTCAAAGTGGCTCAGGTGATACCTGGACGAGCCGAAGGCAAAAGGGTGGCTTTGCGTGGTAGTTTTTAATAGTTTGGGGAGTTTTTCATTATATCAAGGGACTTCAGTTTTAATGAGCATCTGCTTCTGGTTATTAATTTATTTTCCCTATTAATTTTTTTTACCTACTTAGAAATGTAATGTGGGTGTAATGGCATATGTAATATCTTTTATTTTTAAAATATAAAATATAACATAGAAAAAGTGTTAGCCTGGATAGTCTAGGCTTCTAGTTAAACTTCATATTTACTTTGCAAGCTTGGAGCACAGAATCAACTCACATTTTTGTTTCTAAGCATGTGAAACAGTCAGTAGCTTGAGAATACATATGGTGAATTAGGATCCCTCTGGACTGCATGGACGCTACAGTGCAAGTGTAGGAATTATTGTGTCACAGTGAAAAGTACAACAATTAGGTTGGTTTGGACTTGAATATTCAATAATAAAATCATTTGTTCTGATAGCAACATGCACATGATCTTAAGATTTGTCACTGATTTAAGTGAAAGTTATGCAAATAGATCTCTCTATAATTTTAAGTAGACTGAGATCAATTTATAAGAAAAAATTATGTTCCTTAAAATGGCATTATGTAATACAGAAGTTGTACTTTGTACTTAATAAACTTATATTTTAAAATGTCTGAGAAATTCTTGGTGTAGAAATAGTGTACTCTCTCAAAGCATTTTTTTATGTGTGTCTATTTTCTGTAAACAGCCAGGCAGAACTCGGAGTCCAGTGTTTCTTCCAGCTCCTCCTGGTGTTCAGATGCTGTGAATGTTGCTGACCAGGACAAAGCATTTCATGGTATTGTGCCTTTCTTTCAAGCAATCTTGTAGTTTGCCTATTTGTTATTTAGCTAGTGTCTAATGGTGTTGGCTTTGTCTCCTTTGCCAGGGTTACCTGAGTTAATTGATAGAAGTTGGTGGATAAAAAGCTTTTTCCAGAGTGAAACATCTCCACCAACTGTTGGCAGAAAAACACTGTCAGCAAGCAGGTGAGTCCTGTTTTTACAAAGATGGGGGTAACTTACTCATTCCATTTTCCTTGTGGTAAAAGTTCTGATAAACAAGTTGTAATAGGCTAAAACAAACTGGGGAGTGCAATGCTATTTTGAGGGCTTAAAAGACTCTTAAAAGTGTACAGCTATTGAAGCTTCCCATGTTTTCATTTTAACAAATGCACTCATGCTACTTTACACTAAGCGTGTGCTAGTGATTGTTACTGTTCTGCATTCTACTTATCCTTTATCTACTGTTCTTCATGGGGTATTTATCCTTTACCTGTAGCACTTGCACACCCATTTATGCAGTTTACCCTTTTTATGTTAAAAAGCTGATATGAATGCATTCAAAAATACTCAGATAAGTATATTTGAGGAAACTAAAATGATTACTTAAACCTTTTTATATATATTTCTGTAGTACCAACAGCTGAATAGGACAGCATGTTGGCTTCACTGACTGAGATACTACATACAGACTTGTTTTTCCAAGAGGCCTGGGATCTTCCTAATGTCTGTGTTCAGCTGCAAGAAGAAAACAAAACCTTTGGGAGAGTGGTCATTGCTTAAATGTCATTGCTTAATGGACATGTCCATGGCTTACATTGTTCATTACAGAGTTCCTATAATTTGAGATGTCTCTCTAATGGAAGTTACCGGTATTAAATATCCTGATGAATTGGAGTTAGAGCAAAATGGCAGGAAGATGTTGTAAGTTTAGGAGAAGCATGTATATTGAATGACTTTACAATAGGTGATACCCGTCAGTTTTACCTTTAAGATATCAGGTTTATAGGCTGATAGTCACACGGATGTAAACAAAATTCAGGTATGTAGTCCAGAGTAGGAGACTGCTATATGGTACATGTTTTCTATCAAGTATTTGCATACCAGGTACAAGGAGTAAGTGTACAAGTATGTTTGTTAATAGCTTTGCTTTTTAGAAAGCCCAATTACATGAAGAAATGGTTATTAGTTTCATCTCTTTCTTTGAGCAGGGTGCATAGATCCCAAACTCAAATACCCAGGTACAACTTTCATTCGTACCTGTGCATGTTGGTATTTGAGGACAGAATAGGAGAGGGAGAGAGAGAAGAAACCAGTAATCCTAATGGACGCTGACATCTTCCAAGCAGAAGAGCAGCCTTAATCAGAGCTGATACTTCTAATGTTGTTTTAGATTATCCTTACCAGCTCTGCTGTAGCTTTAAAGTGCTACTTGTTCTCCAGTGACTATTAATATTCACTGCTGCCTGTCAGCTTTCTGTGCTAGATCTGGCAAAGTATTCAACTCAAAGTAATAACATTAGTGTTATTAACCAAGTCTACCTTTGTCATGATTCATGCTCTTGAAAGATACAGTAACATAGTTTCATTTACTCTTCAGTATTGCAAAGCAGTACATCAGATTGTTTATTCTACCAGGAAAGATTGAAATACATGAGAGGTCATAGAAAATAACAGGCTTTTGGCTGGACGATATCATTTCTGTAAATAATCTATGCAACTTTTTGACGTACTCTCCCTAAACCTGCCTGACTTTTGTCCATCACTGGATGAATTAACAATAGCAAACATTAATGTAGCCAACCTGTTTCTTTGTAGGTTAATGATTGTCATGGTTATGCATAACTTAAGTGTCTCAAGTGACTGCTTTGGGGAGCTTACAGTTTTGATGGAGACAATAAATGTATGACACATGACAACAGAAAACAACATGATTCTGAAAACAGCTTCAGGAATCTTTAAATTGACTTGTTATGTATCTTTGTGACTATTGTGTAGTTTCATCTTTAAGTGTACAGAAGGAGCTATTTTTTATACTGAGATTTTTTTTATTAATAAAGATTTAATCAATGTTTGCTCTCACTTATTTTTGGTGTCTAACAAACTGATGTTCAGTGTTGCTTGTGGTGTTGGGAACATGTGGGTATTTTGTGAGGTACTATAAAATTTAAAATTCTCACACAAGTCTTTGTGGTCTGTTTGGCACGTTCTTCGGTTAGTCACTTTAAAGCCTGATGGAAGATGAAAAAGGAATGGTGGAATGTAAGCTAAGAAAAAGACCCTAACACACTTTTCAATAATAACATGTTATGAAGGAAAAGACATACTTGGTACTTGGAAGAAGGTGATTCTGTCTCTCTTTGAAGATGCTTGAAGTCACAGAAGAAAGAAATGCTATAGCCTTTATTGTGCATGAGAAAAACAGGATTTGGAATTGCTGTGGGGGAAACTACAGTGGCAATCTTCCATATTGCTTGCTGAGCTTAAGCTGCTTTTGTCCTTATTATAAAGTTGTATGTGGAGCATGCTGAAATAGCCAATAAGCTGTTAATACCCACAAAAATGCATAGTGTCTGCATTCATCTGCTTAGGCATTATGAACCACTTGTTTTTATAATGTCATCATGGTGACAGAAAGCTCTGTTCTACAGAGGGCCTGTTACACCATACTCTTTATTGTTTCCTGTGATCAGCTCAGCACTGGTGCAGCACCACCCCCAATTAATTGTTATTTTTGCCAGTTCTTCAAAGTACAGTTACCCTCCAATGCATCAACTCTTAAATAACTCTAAATATTGCTATGACAGAGTTCTGATGGGGTATGGGTAAATGAGATGTTAAAGTGCTTGCTTTATGCTTTTTTTTTTTTTGCTTTGTGGTAATAGAAAACATCCATTTTCTTGAATTAAATGTCATTATAATGTAATTTTGTAGGGGGAAAAAGCCAAAACTGAAATGATTTAAAGAGAAACAGAGAAATATGAAGAGAAAGCTTTGAACTTTAGCTCAAATACAGCTTAAAATAAGAAAACTAGGTAATTAATATTTTAATACTTATCTGGGTAAAACCAGTGCAATTGTATTGATCAAAGATTAAATGTTCTAGAAAAAAATGATCTTTTCCTGTTAGAAGGACTGCAGGTAGATATTTATTTTTATGAAGTTAATGTGCATGTTGTTATCCATCTAGAAAAAGGAAATATCAGAAGCAGGACTTGTGCCAGCATGTGAGTACTAAGTTAGAACCAGCTGTCATCGCCAAGTTAGGAACAGAAAAATGGGCTTGAAAAAGATTTTTTTTTTTTTTTTTTTTCCCAAATGCACATATAGCAGTGATATTCGATATAGGGTTTCCATTTCTTTCCTAAAAGGAAAACCCGTCATAGTCTACTGGTCCTATTAATATCCCATTTTAGGAGTCAGAAACCTCGTGTTGTTTGTTTTAGTTCAAGAAGGATGAAATCTTCCTGTTGAGCATATTTAGAGACAGAAACTCATTACTATGAAGTGATTTTTTCCATTTATTGTGGTTTGAAAGAAATACCATAAATTTCCATTTGTTTCCAAGGATTTTCTTGCCTGTGTGTAAGCTAAGCGATACTACATATTATGGATGGACAATAGTAAGGATTAACTAAAGGCTCCAACTACTGCTATGAAATGGGATTTTTTTTTTCTTGCATACTAGCCTTTTCTGCAGAAGCAAGAATGATAAATGAACCCATTTAAGAAACATATTTTCAATATAAGAGTGAACAGCAAATCAAACACAATTTGAGTTGTTAGGCATAAGTAAATTTCTTTTCCTAATATGTGCAGTGATTAAGACTCCCATATACCATGTGCATTCCTCTGTAACTTGTTTGAAAAATAATTTCTGGTTTTGGTACGACCACATTCTGATACTTTTAGATATGTGTAAATCCCTCTTTTTTCATGATCTTAACTAATCACGCATTATTTCTTCTTGAAAGACTGTCTCTTATTGTCACTTTCCAACCCTTCTGCAAAGGAAGACCCAAGCAGGGTTCACTCAGCACTTTCTACAAGGATTAATGTTGTTTGCAAAACATTTCTGCACAGCAGTTGGCTGTGAAAATTTTGACCATGATCACATTCTGTGTCTTTGCTGACTCTTCAATGATGGAGGGATTCTGTCAGATTTCTCTTGTCCTGTGCTCTGTCATATGTCATTTTAAGCTATTCTGGCTGTAGCAGATGTGAAATATACTGTATGTGACCACAGGAAGACAGGTCTTTGTAATAGAAAGAGTCTTATCACTAGTAGGAAAGAGAATCAGATCAGTATATTGGGAGTAATTCCAGGGAAAACCATCCTTTTTTTTTCCCTCCCTGCTGATTGGATCTCAGAAACTGTGGAGAAAGAAATCCCTGTTTCCCAACCCTATGCCAGAAGAGAAGATTCAGATCCCAGTTACAATAGTCAATAGAACGTTCAGAGACATTCTAATGACTTTTTCTCAAAAATAGAATAATAAAAGTGCTTGTAGTTGTGATGACAGGACATGATCTGTACAGAGATATAATATCTTTATTAGATCAACTGATTACAGGAAAAAAAAATCTGTACATCTCAAAAAGATAGTGCTTTCCTTAGTTGTGTCAGTCACTACATCTCCTTAAAACTTTGCCATCAATAAAATTCATTTTCATTTATACTTGCAAATCAGAACCCATAATCTCACTTTACTTGTCTAGTTGAGGTAGCAGTCTTAGGTGCAAGACAAAACTGTCCTGTCCATTTACGAGGTACAGCCTCTATCATAATAGAAAAGGACTGACAGGACTGCTTGGACATCAGTAACCGTACTGGGATAATCTCTTGAACAGGTTTGGTGGTGTTGTGGTGTTGGTTTTTTTATATGTATTTTTTTTGCGTGTGTGTTTTGTTGGAGTTTTTGGTTGGTTTTTCTTTTTTGTTGGAGTTGCTCTTTTTACAAGTGAAAAACCATCTCATCCTGACTTTGAAGCATTCAGTGATGGTGAGTCTGTAAAACACCCATAGTAAAATAGTAAAACTTTCAGTGCTTGATTCCACTCACCTTTAAAGATCTTCCCCATTGCTGCCAACTTGACTTTCTCTGTGAATAGCAGTTCAGGTGTTAGTCAGGAATGCATGACCCAAATAACAAGCAAAAAAAGTTTTAAAGTGCTGATTCCACCTCTTCTTCAAGGGCCTTGATAGTGATTTCTGACGAGGTTGTATCATTTTATTTGATCTCCAGCTACATCGACTTCAAGTAGTATTTCAGCACAATGGGAATGGATCAATAGGTGGAAGCAGCCAGAGATAAGCTTTTTGCTTCTGTTAAAGTTAAAAGCCAGTCTCTTAAGAGTAGGTTCCCCACTCTGTAGTTTACTTATTTCAGATTGGGTGAGAATATATAAGTTATTGCTAAGTAAACCAAATAAGAAGGAAAAAAAATGATGGTGTGGTTTTGGGATGGCACAAAAATGTTGTACCTTAAACCACATGCTTTTGTTCATATTGTTTGAAAATGGAATTTAGTGAATAGATTCCTTACTATCTCAAATCATAATATATTCCCATTGCAATAAAGTACTTGTATTAAATAGCACATAAATGTATATGTTTTAATTTAATTTTAAAATGATTTTCAATCCTATCTTTGATGACAGGTATTGTGCAACTTTTTGTGTTTAATTCCATTGCACATTACATATAGAGTAGCTTCCTCATGTCAAAAAAACATTTTAAATTT